TCGTGGCCTTGTAAGATGTGGGACTTAAGCACGTAACCCAAATCACCTACGGTGAGCAGTCTAAGAATCGAGGTTGCAGCCATAGTTTTCGCAGCGGCGTTGCCCAAGCGTGGTTAGGTGTCTATAGCCAACGGGAGGGTAGGGCCGTTCCGGAGCACGGCTTACCATAGTAACTCGCCCTGTCTGTTTCCAAAACGACGTAGTCCCTTGAGATTTCGTAAACACCGTGTCCTTAACCTATTGAGCTAAGAATCAATGTCCAGATGAAATATGGTCATCACCAATAAGTTTATCCTTCTTCATTGGAGCCGTTGTGTAAGTTGTATGTCCTGCGCAAGGGTCCGTAAGAAAATTTTGCTTACCTGTTATGACTAAATAAAAGTTATAAATATATATAGCTTACTATAATACGTAGCTTACTCTATAGGTATATTAACTATAGTTTATAATTTACTATATAAGTATAATATAATAACCTTTTAATAAGAAGTAAGCTTTTTTTTAGTTAAGATATATAAATATTATAATATATATAGCTTGATTAGTTTCTTTAGATATATCTTAAGTATTAATTAGTTTACTACTATAACCTCTAGGTTAATATACTATTAAAGATTATAATAACTTACCTTTACTTATATAGTATTAAGCTATATAAACTAAATACTATATAATTTTAAAATACTTACCTTATTATTATTATCCTTATTAATTATTATAATAATATTAATTAATAAATAAGTATATTACTTATTATAAATATTTATATTAGACTATTAATTATTAAACTATAAGGATTATAATAGTTAATTAATTAATTTATTATGTATTATATAACTATAGTAAAAGTCCAATAGAAATAAAGAAATCCCCTTATTTCTTAGTTAAGAAATCCTAAGTTAATTCTAGCTATATAATTAGTATAATTACTAGTAAAGTAAGGCTAATTTACTATATATATTCTAATTATTTACTATAAGTTAACTATATTTTTACTAGTTAATATATATATAATTCTATTATATTTAATAATTCTAGCTTTAGGGGGCAGTATCTAGCTAGTAGATTAAAGTTTAAAGGGGAGGTAAAAAGACCTCTATAGGCTTTTTTAGGCTTAGTATAAAGTGTAAAGAGTATAAGAGTCCTAGGTATAGACTTAGTTTATACTTAGTATATTCTTTAAAATATAGCACTTACCCTCTATAACTATAAAGAACTTAGTAAGAACTAAAGTAGCTAAGTCTTCTATAGTTATAGAAAGTAAGTGCTATACTCTGAAGGATATACTAAGCATATACTGAGTCTATATCTTAGAATATAGTTATAGAAGGTAACTGCTATATTTCAGAGGATATGCTGAGCATATGCTAGGATTATTTTAGTCACTTCTTTTTAATTCACACTGTGACTAGGGTTTTAGCCCCCTTCCGAACTTTGATCCACTGGCCGTATACCCTCCCGAAGCTGGAATACCCCCTACCGAATTGGATCCCCCTTTCTAGCTTCAACCTAATCTCGCGAGAGGATACGGTATTTCCTGAGTGGGTCACTTGTGTGGAGACGAGGTTCGGTCCGGGAGAACCATCTCTCCGTCACGGAGGCAGCCCGAGCGGAGCCAAGATAACCCGAGCGGAGCTGCTCGCGCGTGATGCCCATGAGGGCATCACGACAGTTTATTAAAAGCCTTATGGCCTATTGCGGCGAGTGGTGGTAGTGGTTATGGGTGAGGGTGGGCGTGGGTAGGTGTAGGAAAGACCTGTTCTCTTCTTTGTCACCCGAGTGCCTAGGTCCTGCAAATAATCAATGTTCCGTACATTTGCCCCTTTGAAACAACAGATGGAGAAACACAGCATAACGATCAATTAATGCAAGGATATTGCTGCCATATTACGTACTTCAACAGGTTACCCCTTACTAACTAGCGTAAAGTCGGATTGAGTCAGTACTTACAGTATCATGTATGTATATAGGTAACGTCTTCTCTTAAGGTTAGCCTACTAAGTTATAGGATTACTAAGGTACATGATTAACTGTCCTTATAAACATCCTTCCTCATTACTTTCTTTATACTCTCATCTGAGATAGTAATATAGTTATCAGGCGAAACGCTATCCTCAAAGGGAACTCTTAGCCATTCGTCCGCTTGTACAATCTTGCCATCCTTTAGCTTTAAATCAATAACGCCTGAATACTCAAATGGCAGGCCTGTAGCTTTGCGCCGACCTAGATCGTTAACAAAAACCCCCCTATTAACAGTGCGGAAGCTGCAGTACCCTTCACCCTCACCGCAGTCTGTGTTAGCCCAGTAGACAGGGTACTTTGGGTCAAGGTAGACCTCAAAGTCCTTGTGTGCGCCGTTCCAGTGCTTGTGGTGGCGCTCGAGGAAGGCAAAGGGGACGTTGATCTGGGCGCCGTGGTCCGTCATGACGGCGTCCTTAGCGAAGAGGGCGAGGAGCGGGGCTGGGTCGCACGAGGCCCAGGCGCGGCAGTAGGCCTTAGGGAGGTCTTGTAGGTCTGTAGCGGCATTGGCGGTGGCCATTTTCTTCTCTTTCTACTTTGTCTGTATGTTGCTTTTGAAGACAGTATTTATTATATTTGATGTGGCTTGAACGTGTATAGCTTTAAGTCAAGAAGTAAAGTCAAGGCTAGGGCTTCAAGGAGGGTAGCCGTAATTACAGTTCTTTTTATAAATCTGTCGAGATACTGCCTAGCCCTATACGGAAGTCGGACGTGGGGTTGGGGAAAATCCGCCGTCTAAGTTCGAGTGAGACAGGAAACCATGCATTAGTAGAGCTATTCATAAAGTGCTGGGCTAGGTGCGCTCCGTGCTTAGGAGCACGGCAACGGGATCTCGGAACGGCAACATCCAGAGCTCTCGAGTTGGGACGGATGCAGTCAGTCATCTTCAGTTTCGCTTCTGTTCCTAACAACAATTACAAGCGTACAGTTGTCAAATTGTAGGGATTGTAATGGTTGATTAATTGATTGTGTTATATGTTGTGTAACTATCGTGAAATCCTATAGGAACAGGGAAAACCTCTATTTCTTGGTTAGGAAATCCTAGGCTAATCCTAGCAGTATTAGTAGTGAAGTTACCCCTAAAAATAGGGCTAATTTACTACCTATTCCCTAATTATTTACTATAAGGTAACTATATATTTACTAGCTAATTTATATATAATTCTACTATATTTAATATACTTTTTAAGTATACTTTATAGCTTTTCTTAATAATAGTTTATATAATTCTCTGTTAAAAGATATTTATAGCTTTAAGGATTAGTGTTTTTATAATTAGAATCCTTTTTACTTACTAAGCCTTATAAAGGACTATCTTAATAACTTATAAAGGTGTTACTAAAAGGTCTAGTGTCTTATACTTATTAAACTCTTAAGCTAGTACTACCTTATAGTTAACTAAGATCTATTTTAAGAGCCTAAGTTTATTAGGTTAAATATAAATATACTAATTAGTAATTTCTTTTAAGCGCTTTAAGAGGAGATAAGACTATATGAGGATATTAAAAAACTTAGAGGTAAATAGATTAAAAAAAGACCTAAATAAAAATATAAACTTTTTTCTAAAAGCTTTAATCTTCTTAAGTTTTTAGTATAGATCTTTATTTAAGATAAAGCTATCTAAGAAGTAATTATTAACTAACTAGATCTTTTATCTTTTTTTATATATATTATAAAGACTTTTATTAAAGTTACTAATTTAATTACTTATTATATTACTTATTTTATTTAGTAACTTAGCTAAAAAGCTTTTTAAAAATCTTTTTAAAGCTTTTTTATTACTAATTACTTCTCTTAGTAAGATATAAAGAAAAGGTCTTTACCGTTTAAAGTATTAAATATTAAGTACTAATACTTATAGCCTTATATTATAACTTTTACAATTTTAAAAATAGTAGTAATATAAAGCCTTATTATATTCTTTACTATATAAGTTATTAAGATATTAGCTTTTTAATTAGTTAACTTTATTATAACTATATCTTCTTTATTAAGATCTAAGTCTAGATAAAGTGCTTTACTAGTAGTAGTACTAAAGTAGCTACTAGTACTTAGTTCTTTAACTTACTAATATTTAAAATTTCTTTAAAGTAATTATTAAGATTTAGTAGAATTCTAGCTAGCTTTAATTCTATATGTTTTTAAATAATACTTACTAGTATTCTTAATAAAGTGTTATTTACTATAATATAAGTATTAATTAGCCTTCTTAACTATTCTAAAGTTATTTAGCTATTAATTATAAATAGTAACCTTAGTAATAAGGGATCTACTATATTTTTTATATTTATAATAAAGAAGTATAAGCTAATTTTATACCTATTAATATAAATATTTATATAGTAAAGCCTTTTAAAGTTTAATTTATATTTATTAGCTTTATAAGTCTTTATTAATATAGTAGTATATATATAAAGAATATTTACTTTCTTTATATATTTTTTTATAAAAATATTAACTTATACTTCTAAGTCTAGGACTTTACTAATTAGTAGTATTAGTTATTTTCTTTTAGGCTAGGTTAACCTAACTTCTAGCTATAAATATATATTTACTATAACTATATTTAAGAGCTATAAAAAGGAAGTAATATAGGTTACTTTAGTAACTTTAGCTAAAAAAGGCTTTCTAGAACTAATAGCTATATTATAGTTCTTAATTAGATCTTTTACTTTTACTTTTTAGCTAGATTTTAAAGTAAGCTTAATTAAGAATAAAGGTATAATAAAAATACTTTTATTAAATTATTTATAGAGTACTTATATTTCTTAAGGACTATTCTTATTACCTTATTAAATTCTAGCTAGATACTTCTTAAAAGCTATATAAGTAAAAATATATATATATCTAGCTTTTTTTTAGCTAGATAGTAAGCCTCTTAAGCTAGGCTAATAGTATATATTTAATTAGTGTCTGCTTTTCTAGTTATTCTTAAGTTATTTATTAGAGAAGAAGTTTAAGTAGTTTATAAGTTTTAATAGTTATTTATTAGCTTTAGGTACTAGAGAATTATTATCTTTAAAGTTACTAAGGGGGCTTTTATATTACTAATTAAGTTATTTATTTTATTAAGTTCTATAATATTTTTCTTAAAACTTATTATCTTTCTACTTAAGTTTTAATAACAATATTAAATTAAGTAAGCTTAGCTAATAAGAAATTTAAATCTTAGTATAACTATTAAAAGTGCTTTTATAAAGTAATTTATAGTAGTTTACCTAATAACCTTTTTATAATAGTAAAGACTTAGAGGCTATAACTTTAATTAAAGCTAAGTATAATTATATAAATACACTTAGTTATTATTAGTATTAGTATATTATTAAAGGAATTTACTTTTAAAAAGTTTACTTTTACCTTTTAAGGTAGGCTAATTAATTTATTAAGGATTTCTTTAGTAATATACTTAGAGATAAGATCTTTACTAAAGTTAAAAAATATAAGCAAGTAGTACTATATAATTAAAATAACCTCCTTAATAACTATTATTTAGAATAGTAAGTAGTATTATAAATATTAGTATACTACTATTTTAAGGCCTATATTTCTAGGATCTTTATACTAAAAGAACTAATTTAGCGCTTTTATTTATTATATACTAATTATAGTTTTTAATATACTTATATATAGTATAGTAATAGTACTAATACTTATTTCTTAGCTTATAAACTATTTTATTTTAATTAGGCTAAAGTATATTAATATTATAAACCTATATTTTAGGCTAAAAGTATATTAACTACTAAAGAATACTAAGCTTTAAGAACTAATTTATAAAGTCTTAATTAGATATAATATCTATAAAGGCTTTAACTTTAATTAGTATATACTTCTAGCTCTTAAGGTATTTAAGTACAATACTTAAACTAGTAGTTCTAGTAGCAGTTTTTATAAGTTAGTTTATAAATCTAAAGTAAATAAAGGTATATACTTCTTTTTATAAGTAATACTATTTAAAATTACTCCTTAAAAGTTAAAATAGCTTATTTAATAAATAAAAGTATTAAGAAGTAATCTAGCTTTTTTTATAATATCCTTAGTAGTTTCTTAATAAAAGTATTTATAAATTTATTTAATTAAAGACCTATTTATAATTAAATAAAAGTTATATTATTTAGTTTAAATAATAATTTAGTTAATCTTACTAATTAAGTTCTAAGTACTTAATAGGTCTTATTTAGAAATAACTAGGTCTTTAGTAGCCTTCTTAATTTACTTTTTTATATTTAGAAACTAGCTAGTATGTTATTTTTTAAACTTTATTAAGATTATATTCTAGCTTTAACCTATAGTAGGTTTTTAATAAGAGTTTTAATAATATTAACCTAAGTTCTTCTTATATACTGGGTAATAAAAGTTCTTATTAAGCGCTTTAAAAGTCTTACTATTTAGTATTACTTCTTAAACTACTTTATAAATTTAATAATATTATCTCTTAGGAATATTAATACATTAAGTAACTTTAGTATAAAAAGCTTATAAAATATTTATAAATTATTTTGATTAAACTTATTCTTTAGTAAGATTATAGTTATTTTAATTTAAGTAGTAATTAGCTTTAATAAGCTATTAATAGCTATACTACTAAGGGGGTTACTTTTTACTAAGGAATTACTTTAAGCTACCTCAGCCTTAAGAGTGCTACTAGTAAAGGTTATATTTTAATCTAGGCTAGCTAAGGTAAAAGTAAAGCCTTAAGGTCTACTTAGGTATCTAACGTCTTTTATATTAGAGGTTATAAGTAGATTATAATAGGTACTAAAGTTATTACTAGTTAGTCTTTTTTAATTATTATCTAAGTTAGGTAGTAAGTTTAGAAGACCTTAAATCCTATCCCCTTATTAACTAAATGTAATATATTAATTACTTATTTTTAGTAAGCTTATTATTATATAAGTATTTAAGTAATTAATAATATTACTAATTATAGTATATTTATTACTTTATAGATAAATCTTTTTCAAGTAAAATAACGTTTTACTTAAGACCTAAGTAAGAAGTATTATAATTAGTAGTACCTCTTATATAATAAGTAGTATAGTACGTATAACCTTAGTTAGGTAGGTTCTTATTAATTACTAAATTACTTACTAAATTATTTAAGATTTCTAGGTTCTTTAATTTATAAAGATTCTTAGTTTAGCTTTTTATATCTTATAAGTGTTTTATTTTTATCTTACTATTTTACTTATTATCTTTAAACTAAGGTAGACTTTAATTTAATACTACTTATATTTTAATTATATTAGCTATATAAATTATAAATCTTTTACTTATTTATTTTATACCTATATTACTTTTATAATATTAATACTACTAAGTTAGTATATAGTCTATACTTTATACTTTCTTTTAGAAACTTTTATTCTAAAAAAGAAGACTATTAAAAGTATATAGTAGTGTAATTAAGGACTTTAGTTATAATAGTAATATATAAATAAATATACTAACACCTTATTATATAAAGTAAGTTAGGTACTTAGTATAATTATATAAAGTTTTTAAGATCTAATTAGGCTT